TTTATAGTTATCTTGGATAAGATAATTAGTGTTTACAAATCTTTTTTCAAGTAATGAAACAGTCGAACATAATTAGCAAACTAAACAAGCCAAGTACAAACTGAAAATTTTAAGGTATAGGCGTCTGTATTATGTTTGGTACTGACAAAAAACGTCGAAAGAACATGTAGCGATTTTGTAAAGAACATATTGCTATTTTGTAAAGAACATTCAGCTCTATGTTTTTTTTTTTTTTTTTTTTTTTTTTTGTATAATTAAAGAATATCTGTAATATTAATAAAGAACATGATAATATTGAAAAATTCTACAATGGTCATCCTTAAAATGATCGTCACTGTTCTTAATTCTTGTTGGCTATTTTTTCCTTTTTTTAGGGTTTGGTCAAATTTTTCCTTTTTTTGTTTTTTTTTGGGTTTGGTCAAACCTGTTTTTGGATTTTTTTTCTTTTTTAATTGATTTTCTTATTTTCGAAAATTAATATCTTATTAATCAAAAATCTATTTTTTATTTTTCTAATATCAGTTTTCATTAAAATAAAAAATAAAGATTGAATTAACATAATTAAAAAATCTAAATATCGATTCTAATCTTCTTCCATGTTCTTCTTCCTTAGATGAAAATATCTATCATTATCATAATCTTTATCCCCTAAGACACTCACGCATCGACGAAGATTGAAATTATGCATCGATCTATATAGTAAATATGAAATTTGAGTTCGCTCGAAATTGGGGTTCGTACGAACCTGGGTTCTATTAAAATCCTAATACAATACATGTATGCTAATTTGACAATCACAATCAAGGTTAGGGATGCATAATCATTAATCACCAATTATGTTTTTGCGAAAAAAAAAAAATTTCAATTTTTTGATAGTTTAGGTTTGTGAGGCAAATTGGAGAAGAAACCATAATTTTTTCCGAAAGCCTGTTTGATCCAAAAAAACAAAGCTGGAATTTAAAACTTGTTTGTGTATAAGTTATTTACCAATATGCTAATAGGTCATTACCTATAACAAATAGTTTTATTTTTTATTCGTCTATATATGACCATAAGAAGTTTTGTAATCATATTAAATTCTATGATTAGGACGACTTTTGTAATTATATTTATGTAATTATAAAACAATTTTCATTAGATTATCAATGAAAATTCAATTTAACTATTAATAATTAATCTGAATTACAATGAAAACTTTAACATGTTTATAACAATAAAGATCAGAAGGTTATGATCGTATATATTATAGGTCATTACATTATGAAACAATATGTCAAGCTTATGTCATGAAGTGTTTATTTAGAAATTTGATTCAACTAATTAAGTATCAACGATAAACGACCTATGAATTATTTAATTTATTTAATCATGTTATTCTAGGTAGCGCTCCTATGGAGCTTCGTAGGATTCTTAGTGAGGATGTGCAAGGTGTGGCTTTCCTACGTTTTGTGCCTCCTTGATAGATTATTTGGTTGTTTTATTTTGCTTGTTTTTGTGTTTTTTTGGTTTAATCCTCATTTGCCCAAAAAAAAAAAAAACACTGGTGTGATTTTTGAAAGTTAAACAAAAAAAGAAAGAAATTGTAACATTGTTTCGCAAAAAAAGGTTAATCAACAATCATACTACCTCCGTTTCTGAAAGTTCGAATCACTTACTATTTATGGGGTCAAAATAAAATAATTTTGACCACATTTAATGACTTATACTATATAAATAAATTAGCATATGAGATCTTAGATTCCTGTTATTATAAAATTTTCAAATATCTACTTTTTATAATTTTCACTTATACATAGCCGAAGATAATCATGCTCAAAATTGTTCATTGGAGACCGCACAAATGTAAAGTGAGTCGAACTTTCAGGAATGGAGGGAGTATGGTCAACTTAACAATTGAAGTCTAAATGCCTTTTAACATTTGACAAAAGATTGGCAAACTTATGTTACAAATCTTACAATATTCCAATTTAAAAGATAACATCTTCAATAAATTGAGTTATTATAGTTAATTACTTATTAACATCCTAAATTGTATTTCATATATTGATGTTATCCTAATAAATTGATAGAATGGAATATTTAATGATCCTAAATTAAGTTCATATAAAAGAGATATTAATTAATATTTGTCCAAAAAAAAAAAATGTTAATATAAATTTATTTTTAAAATTTAACTTTCAAAAAATAAATAATACAAGTAATATACAAGTATTAATATATTGATATTATTAAATTTACATGCAAATTAAAGAAATAAATGTCTTGAGTTTTAATATTTAAGTTGACAAAAGTATTATTGAAAACATGTATATTATCATGTATAGGGTAATTTTTTTTAAAAAAAAAAAATTAAAGCAAGAGTATCATTGAAAACATGTAAATTTAAGTTGATAAAAGTATCATATAAACTATAGGTTAATGTGAAAAAATTAAGAAAGCTAAGAGTAATCACCATACAAATTTTTTTTTGAAAAAACTAAGTTAGAAACATAAAGTAAACTTATAAATAGGAAAAAAAAAAAAAAGAAGTTAGAGCCACATTTACATTACAAAGTAAACTGAGGTCCTACATACTAAAGTTATCGTATTAATAAAGTTGTAACATCACAATTAAATTAACAAAAAAGCATAATGCCTAATTATCATTGAAGATTCTTTTCCAGAACCTTCATTTTCTATGCCCAAATCATTAAAATTCTCATCTTCATAAAAAAATAACCTAATTAAAATTAATATTTTATAGATTCCTAAAAAATTTGAAAATTATATATTCAAATATTAAAAGATATTTTTTGACAAAAAATAAAAAGAAGAAGATATTGAAGTCATAATATTCTTTAAAATAGTAAGATAAGAAATTAGGAAAATATCACGATTATAATTGTTGTTTTAAAAGGTTCCAAAAAATTAAATAATCTTTCTAACATTAAAAGATATTAAGTTCATACTTTTTTTTAAAAAAATAATTATATAGGATTCGTATAAATCTTTCTCCAACGAATTGACAATCGTAATATAGTGCAGTACATTATAATAATTGGAAATGTCCAAAATAACCTATGGTCGTTGCAAACAAATAAACAATAAAATTGTTTGTTAGTTACAGGTAATGTCCTAATAGCATATTAGTGAATACACAAACAAGTTTTAAAATTCCATCTTTGTTTTTTGGATCAAACATGCTTTCGAAAAAATAAAATGCTTTCTTCTTCACTTTGCCTCACGAACCCATACTGTCAAAAAATTGATTTATTTTTTTATTTTTATTTATTTATTTTTTATTTTCACATAGATATAATTGGCGATTATGCATATCTTAATTGTGATTGTCCAATTAACATGTATTTTTTAGGATTTAATTCGAACCCAAATTCGTACACATGAACCTCGATTTCGAACGAACTCAAATTTTGCATTTACTATGTAGATCGAGACCTATTTTCAATTTGCATTGATGTGTGAGTTTACTTATGGGACAAAGATTCTAATGATGGTGATTATTTTTATCTAAGGATGAACAAAGATTCTAATGATAAATGGTGGTTATTTTCATCTAAGGATGATCAAAGATTCTAATGATGATGGTTATTTTCATCAATGGATGAATGACATAGAAAAACAATATTTTGATTTTAATTCTTTTAATTGAATATTTATTTTTGATTTTATTAAAAACTAATTTTTATAAAATAATTATGAAAAAATATAGATTTTTGAAAAATCAGAATTTAATTTTCAAAAAAAAGAAATTGAATTTCAAAAATAAAAAAAACCGAAAAAGAGGTTTGACCAAGCCAAAAAAAAAAAGGAAAAATTAGCCAATAAGAATTAAGAATAATGGTGGTTGTTTTAAGGATGACCATTGTAGAAACATCATGATAATATTATGTAATGAATATTATTTACATATACCCACCATAATTTAAAGACAATATTAAAAAAACATTTCACAATAAGCAATAAATATCATGTCATAAATATAAGTATATTACACTGACAATCAAAGAACATTGACATATGTTCTTTTCACTCTTTTTTGGTGCAAATATGTTCTTTTCACTCTAGATATATATTCATTACATTTTAATAGTATGTTCTTTTTACTATACCTATATGTTCATTACTTTTCTATAATATGTTATCTCCGTCTTTTTTTTTTTACAGAATGTAGCACATCGTACAGGTGTCTATAGGAACCACGCATTGAGTATAAACTAGCATCTCGGAGTATCGTCCGGGCCACACACTAGTTAACTATTGAGAATTGTTAAAATCAAATAAGGTACTTTTTTTTTTTAACTAATCACATATGGTACAATGACACAAGAATAACAAAAATAAATAAAAAATTATGTTTTTTTATTTATTTAAATATTCTCATAAACTTCAGAGTCACATAAGTACATGGTACACGTCTGTCGATTTCACGTTGTATTCATGGGTAATCGGCAACTCCCAGGCCTCAATTTTTGAATTTTAAAAATCAAATAAGGTATAAATGTTTAAATTACTTTTGAATATAGATATTTTTTACTTGGCTATTCCAAAAGTCAAATGAGAATTAGGTCCCCGTAAATAATTTGATAGTTCTGCCCTTTGTTGTTTAGCAAATACTTTGTAATTTGTATATACTTTCTTTGATTTTTTTTTCCCCTACTTGCAACACTTTAAATTTATCATTATTTACACACGGATTATGTTATTTACATAAATATTTCCTTATTAACTTCAAGTGAGATTTTAGTCGCGTCATCACGTGGAATGAAAATTGATAATAATGGTGTAATGTGAAGAAAATTATTGAATAATTCCGTCAAGAATAATTATTAATTTGAATAGCTTCCTACTTGCTTAACTCTAGTATTTTAAGTTGAAGTATTAGCCGTCTATTTTCCTTTTATTTAAAGAAAAAAGGTTGTGGTCAAATATTTTAATTCGTAATCCACAGATAATAGAAAAGTATTGTAATTCGTCATCAACTCCAACTACGATAAATAGCAATGCTAATCAAGGCATTGGAACTCAACCCATTATATTTGCAACTTCATATAAAGCATATTTCTAGAATCCTCACACGTCGACCATAACTCAACTCGTAAGTTCTTTTTCCCATACTTCAATTATGATTCACTATTCGATTCAATAAATATTGTGTTTTGGTTGAGAAAAATTAAAGGACATACTTTTCATCGATAATTATTTAATAACCCCGTAACATTTATCTTGTACAACTATTCATCTTATTTGATACCCTATAATTTTCCTTACAGATTCACGGCCAGTAATGAACTGTATTAATTTCATCAATCAAGCTATATCCGATTCTGTAGTTAATACTCTCCGATTTTTGAAAAATTTAGTGTTAACTTTGCTTTCACAAAATCCTTAATCCCCACTTCTAATGCCACTATCATTTCCTGCAATTATCACTTCATTAGTCATGCTCTAGATAACAATACACTTTGAAAGGGTATACCGGCTCATCTAGCCCGTAGTTTAATTCCACTACTTGATTTAGATCCGGCAACCAAAGTAGACTACTAGAATCCACTACTGCTAATACCGGCTGCAGGAGTCGCCAATGCAGTCGTTTTACTCCGTACATTACATAATTCAAATGAAACAGAAATAATACATACAAATAGAAAATGAATTAAGTACAAAATTATAGTTAAATTTTTTTAAATTTAATTAATAATGGAGGATAGGAAATTAGTATATAAGAAATAGTCTTTATGTTTATGTGCTATATTTTACAATCCTGTATTTAGGTAATTTCATACTGCATCTAGAGCTTGTGTATTATTACTATTATCTATTTGACACACTTTTATTGACTTGAGATTTTAGACTCTCTAAATGGAATTAAAAAATGATGACGTTGCGATATTGGTGGACGACAAGCAACTGCGGAGGCTTGCTAAGCTACTGTTGAATCGAGAAGAATCGCTGATGGCAAATATAGAGTCAGGGCCTGAACGTAACAAATACCTGAAACAATGCAATGAATCCTATGACAAAGTGATTAGTCTGCTTGAAAATGCCAACGATATTAAGAGCAAGTATGAAGATCACAGAACGAAGGCCGAAGATCACAAAACGAAAGCCGATGTTGCTGAGACCATCCATTATTATTTGAAATATGCCATTAATATGAGCATGCAGTGTATCAGAAACTGTTGTTTGCGAGCGAGCGCTGTTAGCAAAATTAGTACTCACTACACCGAAATGGCTGCTAAACTTTTGGAGACAGACCCCGGAGACATGGTTGAGATTCAACGTTTGTTTGAAGAAGCAGAACTTTACGCAAAGCAGACATTGGAGACCGCTGAAAACTGCAGAAGTGGATCTGCTCGAGCTCTCTCAAAGATATTTTCCCAGAGTCTCAAGGATACAGGCACCACATTTCCGGAAATGCTCAATGAGTAAGCGAATTCTATACTAATTATAAATTTATTACTCCGTTTTTTTTAAAGGTAACACTTTAACTGGCATATTGTTTTAGCCAATTCAATTGACTTAAATAAAGTACGAGGTAAATGAGAAAGAAAAAGGAAAAATTGATGGAAATAATCCCACCTTTAATAGATCTTCTCATATTAGTCCCACCTTTTGATTAACTCAATATAATCTCAATTTTAACACCTTCTTCTTAAAATGGTCCCATTTACAATTTGACCTGCTATAACAGGTTAGCATCTGATGTGGCGTTGCCCCCATTGGAATATGTTTGCTTCTTATAACCCACCTTCTTTCCCCTCTGTTTTTCCATTACCTTTTTACAGAGAGAAACATTATAACATCTCTCTTCCCTTCCAATTTTTCTCAAGCTCAAAACTTTGTAGAATATCAACTATCAGTACAACAACGAATTTGTTTTGCGTATTGTTAGATCAAGGCCAAATGTTGGCAAGAAGTTCTATGGTAGCATCAACATCCTCCGATCCAATCTATAAGCCTATTAAGAAACAGCCAGCAATTACATAACTAACAAACAACAATACAACAACTACACAACTCTTCGATTAAACCTCAAAATTCATAATTATTTACAGAAAAAACCCAACATGTAACTTTTCTGAAATTACTCAAAAATTTCTAAATATAAAACTGTAAATTAGAAATTAAACAAAATAATCACCATAAATTCAACCAAATAAGGAACTCACATCATTAACTTGCGATTATTACACACATCAATAGCCATCCTTTGCCCCCCTACCCCCCCCCCCCCCCAAAAAAAAATAAAATAAAAAAAATTGAAGTAAAATTCAAAAGGGACAATCTTATTTTCTCAAATTTCCCGCAAGTGAAGCGGCAGAAGCCCTCAGTAATGGCGAGCTTCCATAAAAGTGACATCACATACCTTAGTAATGGCGTCCATGATTGTTGATGGAATTGATGGTTGGATACGGAGGGTGAAAGGGGAAACTTGTAATTGTTGGATAGTTGGGGCCTTGGGGACTTAGTTGACTTTCCTTAAAAAAAAAAATTATGACACATCAAATAGTAACCTATTATAGCAGGTCATATTGTAAAATGGATCATTTTAAAAAGAGTATGTTAAAAGGTGGGATTATATTGAGTTAATTAAAAGGTGAGATTAATATGAGAAGGTCTATTAAAGGTGGGATTATTGTTGTCAATTTTCCCAAACAAAAATAGTAAGGTTACCAGTTTATTGAAAAATAATGAATGTAAGAGAAAAGAAATATTTAAAAATTGGGTGCATGGAGATCATGAGAGGAGATAAATATAACATCAAAATGTAGTTTTTTTTGTTAAAAAACAAATAAAACAGTTAAACACGGAGAAATTATGCACAAATTTTTTGAAAAATTATAGGTTGGGAACAAAAAATGGATTTTATAATACTTCTTATAAATGTAGAGTTATTGGGGAGAAAAAATAATAAAATATTTGTGCAAATGGAGTTAGTGATAGAGATATTTAATAAAATAATATTGAGTCCTTATTAAATAAACTAGAATTAGGCCCGTGCGATGCACGGATTAAAAAAATTATTGGAATGAAATAACTTATTTCTGTTATTTATTTCTCCGGACATACTTATAAATTAGATCATAAAAACATATCTATCATCATAAATTACATAAGTAACAAATTATGAAAATGAAAGCCGACCAATCTGATCTAATCAAACCATATGCATATGAATTTATATGTCATCTAAGAGTTCGAAATACAAATTAAAAATACTTGTAATTTAAATAAATAGAAGCACCTTGGAAATACAAAATAATGAAAACATTTACCGATAACATTAGTTCATTTTTGTATAACTTCATAGTTAGGTTGCTTGCACAATCCTGTGTAAAAAAAAATAAAAAAAAATAAAAATAAAAAACACCTTAGAAAGATAAAAAATAATAATAAAAAAATATTCGTAGTTACCACAAATAATTATTATTTATTTATTTATTGACACAGTCAAAAGATTGAAATGAAAATGATTAAAAATAAAAAATAACCAAAAATATATATGACATTATAAGTGCATTAGGCGGGAATTTTTTTTATGAGAAAGCGACACGTATACAGTTTGGGAGATGATGATGTCAGCAATTTTCTGTTTTAGTAATAGTTAATAGACGAGTGTTGCAATAATTATGAGAATGTAAAAACTATGTTATAATTATTTCGAAATGAAGATCAGAATATAGATTCAGGTATATATTAAGTTTTCGCTAATATATACTCCCCATGTCATCATTTTTTTGCCCCATTGCAAATAAATGGGTTAAAACTTCAATAAAAATTACAATAAATTATTCTTATTAACCAATAAGAGATAATATAGTCATGTTGGGTTTTGTTAGATTCGTTTCAATGAATATTATATTAAAATCATGTTCTTACAATTTTTACGTGTATAAAAATGAAGTTATATACACTTTGAAATGCGTCTTGAATACCGTAAAAAGTCAAATAGGGCAAAAAAAAAAAAGGGAGTAGTTGGTGGTTGCCAACTAGCCAAGCAACGACTAATAATAACTTTTGTCAATGTCTTGTAGTTACAAGAACCGGCTTGGGTATACGTCAATTGAATTTGAGGAATTGGAAGATGCTCAGAAGATTTTGGTATGCAATCAATCATTTTATTTTATATGAGTAACTTTTTTGTTAGATTAACTTTTCAACATGCCTAAACTCTTCTCCCTAAATAAAATTCTCATTTTACTCTTATATCAAATTATGTTAAACTAACATGCACCAGTTACGAGAATTCACTTTATAAGTCTAAATAAGATCCACTTTAAAATTATATGGCAATGAGAGATGTAGCTCATCAGTCTATAACTAAAAGTAACTTTTTTTTGTTCTTCAATGTGAGATACACATCCTAGCTAGCATTCCCCCCACTATCTTATTTTAAATGTCCACCAAATTACCTAGACATCATTATCTTACCGTTTTATTCATCTTCCCAAAAACTTGTATAGAAGACAAATGAGACTGTGCTAGAGGTATAAATTACCAACTAACTATTTGATATTGATAGATCAAGTGTCTAAAGTGCCTGACATTGTTCTCTATGTACTACGACTCTCAGGTATACAATAGTATCATTACAGATTCCAAAAGAGCAGTACTACCAACATTAGAAACTTTAGCTGGAGGAGCCGGGGTTGCAGTGCTACTGGTGTGCGCAGGGTTAATGGTATGGGACATATTTACAGCTGAACACCAGCTTGAGGCTGTTCTGACCAACGCCTTATCGGCAATATCAGAGATTGGTGCCTTCACAGTACAGGTGTTGGTAGAAGCAGCAGTGAGTGAAGCAGTGGCAGATTTGGAACTAGGGGTGTTCGTTGTCGCAGTTTCCGGGTTTGTGGTGGGCACTGCGTCGGGGCTTCTCTTTATTGCTGCTAGTGGTTTTTTGGTGGATCTTATTTTTGAATCAGGGGGTAAAAAACCACCACCTGTGGAGGGTCAACACTTCTATTCTACCATAATGCCTGATGGCATGGCTATTGCTAATCAAATTGCTTATGATGGAGAAGCACAAGCGGTGCAAGCTATAGGGCCTAAAACCTATTTTTAGTGTTACGTTTTTGTTTCATTCATCAAAAAAAGTCGATCGAACTCGACTGTGTGATTGTGTAATTGATTTTTGTTTGTTTTATTTGATAAATAAAGGATTTGAAATTCCAAAATTCTCATTCGCACAGGTTTAAAGGATTGCGTTTGCCACTTAATAGTGGCAGATCTAGGATTTCTAACTAGGGGTAGCATAGAATGATAAGGAAAAAATAAAAAAAGTTTAATAGTATATATATTATCGTTTAATAATTAGCAGCCTTTAACTTTTGAATTCGTTTGCCACTCAATAGTGGTAGATAAATTTTCAATTCACAAATATGAAATAATTTATATTTTAATTATCAATATGATCAAATTTATTTAATATGTTTAATAGGGGTAGCACATACAAAATATACTATGAAATTATTATTTTACTTTATATAAATAATTGCTTTACTCATATAAAACTAAAAGTAAATGTATTACTTAGCAAATAGATATGTACATTGAAAAGTGCAACAAATATGGAAGTAATTCATCAAATGAAGGAGTTTTTAAAAATAATAAGTTACTCATTTCATTTTTTTTTAATTTGTTTTTGTTATGTTTGGTATCATGCACAATAATTTTAAAATAATTAAAGTATAAGTATATATTATATAATTTAAAAATTATAAATTCTACTATTTATAATAATTTCTTATAACTTAAATAAGATTTTTTTAAAAAAAAATATGTACAAAGGTAAGTAAAGTTCTAAGAGACCTGTTTTATATACAACAATTCACTTATATTTTAATTTTAACATGGAAAGAAGCGCGCTTTGTTGTAATTTGTCGTGGGCCTTATGGGCTTATGGCAGCCTCTAAGAGACCGGTTATCTAAGATAACAGGTCTCTTTGAATAGTTTTTTTTTTTTTTTTTTTTTTTTTTTTTTTTTTCAGGGATTGCATGTGCTACCCCTTGTGCCTTCGTGGATACGCCACTACCACTCAATTTGATTGGTTAACTTTTTAAATGTAGGTCATGTCAGATTTTGTTTTCTTTTTGACAACGGTCCAAAAAGGAGGCTAGCTCCCAACTGACCCAAGACTACAGACAGAATACTTGACTCTCTTAACCAAACTAATACAAGAAATAAACCGGGGGTTGGGGTTACAAACACTATGAACTAGCCATAAGTTGTTCCAACCTTGTTCCCTTGCGTTTCTTAATCCTGTAAAACGAAGACTAGGATACCTTTTACCTTTCTTGTTCCTCATCCTTGACCTAATAGGCCTTCCATGTTTTCTTGTTACGGCAGAGAATGTGAAGGTAGACCATGGTGGAGAAGACTGCACATGGTCGAGATCAACAAGCATGGGGTACTGGGGTATTTGATCAATTAACGGATTCCACTTCATCGATGTTAGTGGTGGTCAAATCGCTCCCCTCCTCGATGTTTGACTCCTTATTGCTGCTACAAGTTAGTTAGTGGGTGTTTGATCAACTAACTTCTCAACAGCAGCGGTATTGAGCTTAGGAAGGCCAACAACATGGCTAACCACGGTGGCATCCACGGATTGCTTGGCCTCTTTCCTTTTGCCCTTTCTGTCACGACTCCTCTTTTTTGGACCCACCATCCTAATGGGTGTGGATAAGATTTCTGGAATTATATTATCCTTTGCCTTGTGAGATTCAGATCACCCATCATAGGTGGTCTTTTTCTTTACCCGTACAAGCATCCATGAAACAGTAAAATTTTTGAAGAAACTCAAGGTTTTCTCTTGACACAGATCTGAATAAGACAATTCAACTCGGAAATCTTAAGGGACTGATTACTTCTCAAACTGTTGAGGAACATATGAAATTTCCTCGGTCTCTTGTCCTTAGCTTTTCTAGGATCCTGGTTGTTTGGAGGGCTGGTAGCATAATCATCCCCCCTTTCCAAAGGGGTAAAATCATTAGATGTAGTAATAAAGCTCACCACCGTCATCTGATTAGCAACATCCATGGTGGGTAAAGCCATAACATCACTCTAAACATCGCTACTAGGCAACATATTAGAATCTAGACTCACAGAGATCTTTCCCTTTTTGTTGAAGATGGTATTACACAATTCGGGATACTCAGTACCCCTTTTTTCCCCTGATCTTGCATGCTTTTCTTCTCAACCCTCCACCTTCTCTATCTCACGAAGGATGTCTTGGTTTTTAGGCTCAGCCTTAGCTGCTTTACTAAGGTCTTCATGGGCCTCTTCAAGTTGATTGAGCTTGATTTCTTCTAAAGCCCGTTTGTAAAGGGCTTTAGGATTGTTACCATTAAGCATAATGACTAACGAGCATAGCTCCTTACACTAGTAGAAAAACAGTAATGAGCACCGCAGAATGCGCACCAATTTTTAAAAACTGGTGCTAAAAAAAATAGGCGGGATTGTGGGAAAGAGTATTTGCACCGGTTCCAACCAAACCTGTGCGAAATTATGTTTTTAGCACCGGTTCAAACTGGTGCGAATTAAAAAAGAAAAAAAAGAGGGAAAGAGTAATCGCACCGGTTCAAACCAAACCGGTGCGAAATAATGTTATTAGCACTGGTTCAAACCGGTGCGAATTAAAAAAAAAAAAAGATTTGAGCTGCGCATCATTTCTCTTTCCCCGAAATTTTCATTTCAGTTTTCTTTCCCTCTTTCGTTTTCACTTTTGTTTTCCCTCATTGGTTTCTCCATATCTCTCCTCCATTACGCGTGCTCGTAGTTCTCCATTGAAGCGGATTATGAGCTTTCTCCATATCTCTCCTCCATTACGCGTGCTCTTAATTCTCCATTTTAGCGGATTCTGAGCTTTCTCACCTCCATTGAAGCAGCTTCGAGGTAAGATTTTGTTTTGTCCTTTTTAAATTATCGAATTCAGTTTTCGCAATATAGGGTTTGTCGTTGATTTGATTTTTAGTATAGTAATTTGGGCGTTCTTGTAATATAGGGTTCTTGCTGTAAGCTGTCTCACCTACGCGCACGGCTCCCCCTCAACCACTACCGCCACCTGCAATTGCGTCCTCCAACGACGTACCACCGCGAAGTTCTCTTGTAATCTAGGGTTAGTTTTAATTTTTGTTGTTTGAAATTCGTCAACATTAAGGTTATACTCACTGTTAGAGTTTATGTATATGCTCATTGTCTTATTTAAACTTAATTTGTTGTTTGAAATGCGCATCATTAAGGTTAATTTTTCTTTGCATAACTTGTTAGAGTTTATGTATATGCTCATTGTCTTATTTAAACTTAATACACATTAAAATGCAGATAACTTAGTGAAGTTAGTTGAATTTTGGTATGTAAAATATAATGTGGTTGAATTAGTGATTAGCAATTGTGTTATGAATTAGTGAATAAATTAGTGAAATTACATTAATTACTCTAAATTTTAAAAAACTTTGTGATTAGCAATTGTTAGTTTGATTAATGATGCGCTATACTTTAGCAATGTATGTAGGTATTAATTAATTACTAACTTTTGTTTTTTGTTTTGTTTTTTCTTTTTGTTTTTTATAGATTCATATGTGAATTGAAGCACAAGTTTAGCTTGAAGATTACATATTTAGCTCAAGTGGGAAGTTAGAAAGAATACATCCATTGTACTTGCTATATTGGTATGAATTATAAACTTTACTAAGCTATTTTCTTTCTCTTTATTCATTTAATAAAAGTTTGTTTATGCTATTACAACTTGTGTATTGTTTAATGACTAAATACAACAATATATAAAATGCTTGCATCATCATATGCCTAGATACCCGTTCAAGGCTTTCTAATTAGGAGAAAGTCTTGAATAGTCCCCAGCCGGGACTGTTCTTGAACGTTTAGTCTCACTTAGGTGGTGAATGTATGTCTTTTTTTTCGATTTTAAGGAACATCTTGGCTTACCATTTCCTCACCCTGTTCTCTGGGTACATATGTGGGTAAGTAATTATCTACATCGTGTACTTGGAGAACTGGGGGGAAATGCTGCCGGATTTTCTTTAAAATTGGAAAGTCGACATACATTCACTAGTGAGATTAGACGTTCAAGGATGGGTTAGGTTGGAGTGATGAGGACCCTTTGGAAGTATATATGCATTTTTTTTACTATATGAATGTTATATGCATGGTGTGTGTTTGAATTTGATTTACATATATAATATATGTAGCAATTATACATTATTCGTAATATGTTGCTATGTTTAGAGATAATTTACTTAATGGAGAAGGATTGTGGTTGGATGTATGGTAGACGTGATACATTGGAATTCTTTCATGGGGTTCAAGAGTTTTACGAGAGGGCTTCATCTTATCAGCGCAGAATGGGTGTCGATTGCCTCTGTTGTCCTTGTGTTGATTGTAATCATGTGAAGGTGGTCAATAGTGTTAAAATCATTAGAGATCATGTAATTTGTCTTGGGTTTAGGCTTAAATACCATGTGTGAATTTGGCACGGTGAAGAAGGAGAGTACAGTTGGGATGTTGATGGGAATGATGTGCATGATAGAAGCAATGAGATTTGTGTGGACGAGGAATACAAGAATGATGAATATATTATTGATAATGGTGATGAGGACGGATTTGAGGATGATCAGGTGAATGAGGTCGAGGATGAAGGGGTGGATGAGATGATGCGTGGTGATGAAGGTGATGTGTTTGAGTCATTATTGGAGGCTTCTAAAAAGCCTTTGTATTCTGGGTGAAAAAAATATTTCAAACTATCAGCCGTGCTAACACTTTTTAATATTAAGTCGAAGCATGGTTGGACGGACAATAGTTTTACTTCTTTGTTGACTACGTTAAGTGAGATGTTGCCTGACGGGAATGAAATTCCTAAGTTTTACTATTATGCAAAGAAGCTCATGTGTCCATTTGGTTTGGAGTATAGGAAGATACATGCATGTCATAATGATTGTATTCTTTATCGAAATGAATATGAACAATTGGAGGAGTGTCCACGATGCAAGAAGTCGCGCTACAAGCGCATGAGTTGCAATGCTGGTACGAAGGGACCTCCTGCTAAGGTGTTGTGGTATCTTCCCATTATTCCAAGGTTTAAGCGTCTATTCTCAACACCAAAAGACGCTAAAAACTTGAGGTGGCATGCAGAGGGAAGAAAGAAAAACAGAATGTTGAAGCATCTAGCTGACTCCCTGCAATAGAAGAACATTGATATGAAGTTCGGGAAATTTGGTGATGAAGTCAGAAATTTAAGGCTAGGG